TTTAGCTCTCAGGTTGCCAACCTGCTCCTGAAGGTTATTCACCAAGTCTTCGGTGGCAGCAGCAACAAGTAGCTCAGTTCTCTGCGGTCCGACAGGTACATTTATACATTTGTGGTCTTGTACGTGCCCCCCTTTTTCCTTGTTCTGTGTATGCAGGTTGTTCTGTTTTCTCTGGAGGCTGAGAATACTAGACAGATTAATAATTGAGTACATAAATAGACCATACACAAAAATGTTAGCGTTCAACATTAAGTAGAATCCCACAAGTATCCCTATTTAATATTGAAAGACTTGCTTAACTATATATCATCCATCGCACTTAATATACCCCTCACAAACTCTATAGCTATGGTTACAATATCTTTATATAATTACAAAACCTGGACTGATAAATCAATGATGTATCTCTGATACGTATTGTGTGGAAAGTCTCTGGGAATGACAGTCACGGCTCTCTGCAGGGACAGGTTCGAGAAGCGAGCGATGGTATGTGTTCGCTCACTTCCCGATCTATTGAGCCGACATGTGGCAGTTTCATTTTCACAGGTCGGCTCAGATTATGAAGCTGAGTGAAAATCACTCCCCTCATAGTTCTCCTTTTAATTGTTTTGTGGAAAGCCTCTGGACACCTACAACAGCAAGCCCATCATCCGCTAGCAATAGAAAAAGTATAGTTGCCTAGTCACCTCAGTTATTTGTGTTTCCTCTGGCCTAACAGGAACTGTTAATAAAAAAATAAAATACGAACAGTTTTGACAGTTTTCTTTCTTTCAGGCCTGACTAGGATTAACTTTTGGGTTTTTTGTGTGTTTTTTTCATCCAAGTTGTGGGACCATTCCTTCCCATCACCACCTTGGTTTTCCCCAAGGTCTGTTGTCATCCTGAGAAGAAGCAAGGAGGTGTGGGATAGTGATGGCGCCCATGATGGCCAGCTGGGCCCTGATGTATGCTGCTGTTTTGTAAAGGGATTGCTGGCATCCCTGGATCTATGGGGAGGTGTGGGGGTGCTTGGGCTAGAGCAGGCCTACACTCTCTCCCGGGTCCCTAATATGGTGGACCATATTGGAGGGAGGGGGAGCAAGGATAATCCTTACAACCCTTAATGGCCAGAGTCCTTTTGGTTTGCCATACTGCACAGATTGTGCAAGACTCCTTGTAGATTACTTCCAGTCATCTGTGATCTGGGCCCAACTTGCCCCAGGTCATCAGGACTTGGGAAATGGTAAAACAGCCTTCCCTATTCTCAAACCCATCCAATGATGAGCAACATCTTCATGCTTAGATTTGCTCACAAGCATACTATGTTATCCTAAGTAATCCAAACAATGGAAAAAAATAATTGGCCTATTTGTACTGTTTGCAGGACCAAGAGTTGCTAAGGTGTCAAAGAACACTATAGATCAGATACGCCATTTCGTAGCATGCTGTACATGCTTTTAAAAGTAGAATCTCCCAGTGATGTTAAGAGGTAAAGGTAAGGACTTGAGTTAAGTTTGAGTGGTTAATGTGATCTTTGCTTTTAGCTCTCAGGTTGCCAACCTGCTCCTGAAGGTTATTCACCAAGTCTTCGGTGGCAGCAGCAACAAGTAGCTCAGTTCTCTGCGGTCCGACAGGTACATTTATACATTTGTGGTCTTGTACGTGCCCCCCTTTTTCCTTGTTCTGTGTATGCAGGTTGTTCTGTTTTCTCTGGAGGCTGAGAATACTAGACAGATTAATAATTGAGTACATAAATAGACCATACACAAAAATGTTAGCGTTCAACATTAAGTAGAATCCCACAAGTATCCCTATTTAATATTGAAAGACTTGCTTAACTATATATCATCCATCGCACTTAATATACCCCTCACAAACTCTATAGCTATGGTTACAATATCTTTATATAATTACAAAACCTGGACTGATAAATCAATGATGTATCTCTGATACGTATTGTGTGGAAAGTCTCTGGGAATGACAGTCACGGCTCTCTGCAGGGACAGGTTCGAGAAGCGAGCGATGGTATGTGTTCGCTCACTTCCCGATCTATTGAGCCGACATGTGGCAGTTTCATTTTCACAGGTCGGCTCAGATTATGAAGCTGAGTGAAAATCACTCCCCTCATAGTTCTCCTTTTAATTGTTTTGTGGAAAGCCTCTGGACACCTACAACAGCAAGCCCATCATCCGCTAGCAATAGAAAAAGTATAGTTGCCTAGTCACCTCAGTTATTTGTGTTTCCTCTGGCCTAACAGGAACTGTTAATAAAAAAATAAAATACGAACAGTTTTGACAGTTTTCTTTCTTTCAGGCCTGACTAGGATTAACTTTTGGGTTTTTTGTGTGTTTTTTTCATCCAAGTTGTGGGACCATTCCTTCCCATCACCACCTTGGTTTTCCCCAAGGTCTGTTGTCATCCTGAGAAGAAGCAAGGAGGTGTGGGATAGTGATGGCGCCCATGATGGCCAGCTGGGCCCTGATGTATGCTGCTGTTTTGTAAAGGGATTGCTGGCATCCCTGGATCTATGGGGAGGTGTGGGGGTGCTTGGGCTAGAGCAGGCCTACACTCTCTCCCGGGTCCCTAATATGGTGGACCATATTGGAGGGAGGGGGAGCAAGGATAATCCTTACAACCCTTAATGGCCAGAGTCCTTTTGGTTTGCCATACTGCACAGATTGTGCAAGACTCCTTGTAGATTACTTCCAGTCATCTGTGATCTGGGCCCAACTTGCCCCAGGTCATCAGGACTTGGGAAATGGTAAAACAGCCTTCCCTATTCTCAAACCCATCCAATGATGAGCAACATCTTCATGCTTAGATTTGCTCACAAGCATACTATGTTATCCTAAGTAATCCAAACAATGGAAAAAAATAATTGGCCTATTTGTACTGTTTGCAGGACCAAGAGTTGCTAAGGTGTCAAAGAACACTATAGATCAGATACGCCATTTCGTAGCATGCTGTACATGCTTTTAAAAGTAGAATCTCCCAGTGATGTTAAGAGGTAAAGGTAACTTTGGCCTCAGCATAGACTAATACCTAGTTGTTTACCTGAACAGCTCTGCAGAGCTGGCATCTGTTTTTATATGGATGTTTGACACAACCGGATCCGTGCTCTCCAGTCATGACTTGGTATTGGGAAGTAGATCCTGCATGCAGAAGCCCCCCCC